AGCGCAAGCGACAATAAGAAAATGACAAATGGAAGGAAGGAAGAAAGCGACGGCGCATCCGGGTTTATCGAATAAATATTGCATGTAATTGGCGATGATTTAACCAAAAAAAACGGATACACCGAGAGAAAATCATCGAAAACAACAACAACAACACTTACATAAAGTGTTAAACTTTACTTAAACGTCAAATCGATTATTTGACGTTGGTGTCATTCATTTGTAATTTGGGGACGCGCGTTCCCGATTGTCTTTTTTTGTTGTTGTTGTTGTTGTGTTTTGTTTGTTTGGTGGGCGTTTTGGGATCGATGCCAAAGAGGTGAGGAGGAGGAGGAGGAGGAGGATGTAATGTATGGACGGTGCGGATAAGAATCGATGCTGCTTCTGCTCATGCAATATTTATTTGGGTCCGATGGACGCGGGCGGAATGCGAGGTGTTCCACGCGAAATTGGAACCATCGTCGACGAAGAAGAAGAAAATCATCCGTCGAACTATTGGATTTGATTCGATTTGGATGATGGACGCGGATGGATGGTGGAAGACCTTGACCGTGACCGACTTAAGGATAGTAGTACGAATACAGTACAGTACAGTAACACTCACGCAGCAACGCCAACATCCGATCGATCGATCGATCGACGAAATATTTAATTATATCAGTTTTCGGGCCTCTTCAGAAATTCACGACACGCCGCACAAAACATGCCTACTACAACGTACGTACGTACGTGTTACATGCATGATTACAAGTCCTAACCTCGTCGATTACATCCATTATTATTATTATTATATCACCTCCATTTATAGAAAACATTCCTGCATACACGCGGAATTCCCTACCGGAGTACGAAAATAATAAAAGATAATCAACAAAAATATTGTTATTATCGTTACCGTGCAACCCCAAACTCATCCATCCGTCAACTCTGTTGACACTGACACATGACACGTCTATTTGTCGACTTGCAAGTAAACAAGCATATAAATAAATTAAATTTAAAGATTTCTGTATTTCCCCGAAATTCGCATTACCCTCGTTCATAAATTGGATGAAACTGTGGGCAAACAAAGTGAGCGTGACCGTATTTTTGAGTTGTTTGAGTATTTTCAGGAATTCATTTTGACATATTCTGTTACGTTTTTATGTTGGCCACATTCGAAACGGCCATATGATTGGTTCATCAGCCATTTTGCATGTTTCTATTCGTCATGTGTTTTTCTTTTACATCGGATTGGCGAATTTTATCGTAAAACAAACGAAATATACAAAAACAGCGCATTTGATCCTTATGAATGTGTAAATGTGGATTGAAGTTGTGCGAAATTTCGGATTCGTGTCGCGTTTGACCTAATAATTTCATATGCGATCCGATATATATATATATTTATTTTCGCCTGCAATTATGCAGTTACATATCGTCCGTGCGATGCGTTTTCCGCGTATGCAAGAAACTCCGCTTCGGAGGTCATGAATAATGCAAAAGGGTTCTTCGCTCTACAGAGAGAAAAGAAGCAGAATCTTTCCATCTCACCATTTACCATCCACCGTCGTCTCTCCTTCGTTCGTTCGTTCTTTCTTTCTTTCTATCTGTTTGTCGTTGGGAATGCAAGATCTGAACGTGATCGGCAACATTTCTGCGTGATGGGGGCCGAATTGCGCGCAACACTCCGAAATCCGATCAAGCCAGAAAGAGAGGAAAGAAAGAAAGGACGAACGACGAAAAGGGCCTTGCAAAACTTTGGTATTCGACGCAGTGCGTTGAACTCGACTTCGATTGCAATTCTCTCTTCTGTGAGTGCGCACTTTTTTTTTCTTCTTTTCATATATTTTTTTTTGTTCTTGTTCTTGTTCTTGTTGTTGGTCGCTGATGACCGAATCCGATGAAGAAGAGCCATCCGCAGAAAGAAACGGCACATTTTAGGGGCCGAAGCACGCACGCCCATACCATAATGGAATTTCCTCATCCAAATGGAATTCCTCTTCGGATCGATCTCACGGTCAAAAATCGGATTTCTATCAAATACAATTCAATTCAATTTCAATTGATTGCGATTTACGTTATCGCAATAAACTCAGATATTGAATATTTCAAAACTAGAAACTTGTCCATATAAATATATTTGTAGGTGTCATTTTATATTCGTTCGGTGCAAATAAGCATTTCTTGCTTTCTTATTTCTAACTGAATTCCTCAATATTTATCATTCGTGATGATTCATCTCTCATTTTTAACATTACTTATTATCATTTCTTTGACATCTCCTCCGCTATATCAGTTTTACGATGTTGACAGCCTATTTCAAAGATTTTCTCCAAGATTTATGGATGTCTCTGATTATAGGATTTGTGCAGATGCAAGTTATCTCGGTTACATCTACAAACAACTGAAAATCCAAACATAATTCCAGATTGCATGTTTAATATGCAAAGGTAGAATGCAAATTAAAATATGTTTAGAGTTTGTTCTTGTTGCTGCAGTTGTTATTATTTATTTATTTATTTTTTCCCCCGGACTTGATAATTTATAGGACAAGTGCACCAGTTCGTTGCTGCGTACCTTTCATATCCTTTTTTTTTGTTGTTGGTTGTTTTCGAATTGCGTTGTCTGGGTAGTAGTAATACTACCTAGTGAAGAAGAGAAAGAAGTATTCGTCCGACCAAGACCAAGACCGCTCATAATAGTGTAATATGTAAGGTGGATCTTACATTTTATTCTCGTTAAATTTATTTTTTCTTTTCGAAAACGAGCTCCGGCGGCCTTCCTCTTCGCATTACAGACATGATTTACGCGCGCCGCGAAAATAATCCCCCTTCGCCTTCTTCGTCGATTTTTCTTTCGCCGCTCCGTTCATCTTCGTCTTTTCCTTTCTTTGCGTACACATTTTGCTTCATCTTCTTTTGTCTATTTTTTTTTCTTTGTTTCTTTCGCATCGTACGCTCATTGTGTCTGCTCGCAATTAAGCCGTAAAATGAGAAACAATCGTACTGATGCAACGAAAACAATAATAACACGTAACAACGCACATCGATCAATGTCGATTATGACATTGTGCAAAGCGTCAGAGGATGTATCTCTCACACATTTGATATCCACGTTTCAATGACCTTCATCATTCTAGTTGAAACACTTCGGCTTCGATTTCTTTTTGTTTTGTCAAAAATATGTTGATTTGAGATGAACAAATCTTTGTTTTTTTTTTGACATTGAGAAAGAAATCGAGTGGTCGAATGACTTAACTGATCAAGTGTCATTTTTTGACATATGTCAGTTTTAAACGTCAATGTCAAAATTTTGCAATTTTTTTTTTCCACCCCGAATCATTCGAATTCGTCACAAACAAATTGCTACCATTACACACCCGATTTGGTCGACAAACACAAGTAATTGTGTGTGAAAAATCCTTGCATTATTCACCTCTCAGTCGCACTATATATATATATCTTCAATTGTCTTCCGTTCTCTCTAGCTACGCGTATTTATAGGCGGCATAGACGCGACAAATGATGCTGTTTACATTAAAGAGATCATCATCATCATTACCGTGGCAACAATAAGACCAATTCCACCGCCATCATCATCATCATCGTCACTATAGTAATTGTGACTATTAGCGCCGTAGCTAGGACGAAAATCGAAGCGTGGACGACTGGAGGAAACCGAAGCGCCTTTGTTTTCGCGTCGCGTTGAGAAGGAAGTTCACACTTTGAATTTGCACAAACAAAAAGAATATAATTGAATTTCCTGTTAAAAAAAATATTTTGGAATGAAGCGAATAAACGTAACCTCGATAAGAAAAAGAAAAAGAAAAAAACGGTTCGTTAGCCTTGACATAGCGAGAACACTTTGATTATGTTACATATCAATAAAAGTGCGTTCACTTGAATAATTACATGCGAAACGATCAACTACTTGAAGTAATTTGTTACTTGGCAAGTTACAAATACTGAGATTCAAGTTCATTGACAAAGTGCGTATACAATTGCGCAGCGTCAACGTCTCGTTTATGATGGTCGGTCGAAGAAAAGAGGAGATCGAGATGAAAGGAGCGAGCAGATACGTGTGTGTGTCTTAAGGCCGTAAGTTTGCCGCGCGTATCTCTCCGCTTCGATAGGGAAAATGGGCAATTTTGCAGCGTATTTATTATTATTGTACGCGAAACGCGGAGCGTAGGTCGCAAATAAATTTACCAAAAAAAAAGAAAAAAGAAAGAGGAAACGAAATTAACATAATGCTAATAGGACTGTAGTCATGGCAATAACGATAATAATAATAATAAAAGCGAATCGTCGAATATTTGGAATACCCGAGGAAAGAACAAAAAGTTCAATGGAAATAAGCATAAATAATTGTGTGACATTTGAAAATGTCATTGGGGAAAACTGTCAACTGTCAAAACTGTCAAAATATGTTTCATTGTTTTGTTGAAAAAGACGCCATTTGCAAACAAATAAAGACAAACGAAACACACAAAGTAACTAGATTTACCGGAACGATAGGATTAATTACCGTAATTTTAAAGAATTTAATTAAAAAGAAACATCAACCAACTATTATTATTATTAATTGAAGATTCTTTTGAGATTTGAATTGAGAGTAATGCGAATTAAAGTAAATGATAAATTGCGACGTTGAAAAGTCGAAACTACACGAAATGTTTTGGAAATCCCGAAGATTAATTAATTTTCTTCGAGTACCAACCAAAACACGTATGAAATATGAACGGTGTCAACGAATGTGTCGTTTGGTTATTTGCGACGATGGCGTGTTTTTTGGTGCGTTTATCTGTATTCACTCTATCTGTGTGTGTGTGTGTGTGGTGTTTTTTTAGCGGTGGTTATGGTGCAGCATGCGGTGGTGGTGACCAAATAAGCTGAAGGTGCAAAATCGCGTCTCTCCTCTCCTCACCTCACTACCTCTTGATGATGAAGAGAAGAGAAGCGAGTGAAGAGGAGGAGGAAGAAGTCGAAGAGAAGTAGAAGAGGAAGAAAGAGTGAGAGAGAAGAAGAAGGAGGTTGAAGGAACGACGACGACGACGGTGGTGGCGGCGGCGAAGAGGAAGAAGACGCGAAACGGGCAAAAGCCGGCCGAAGAAGAATTTGAAGAACTGGAGCGGGGATTCGACCACCATATATATAAAGTATCGCGAATCTTTCGCCTCCACATTACCAACAACAAACACCACCATCGAAGCATCACAGGCTAAGAAAGGGGAAGCAGAGGAAAGAGAAAAACAAAAGTACGAAGGTGGCGACGGCGACCAGAAATTTTCCATTGAGAAAAAGTGAAAGAAATTTTATTTGTTTCAAAAAGTGATTTCCTACGAATTTTCCGAACTCAAATCGAAGGTAAGTCACCTTAACTAAATATTTTTATACTTATTGTATTAACGATGAATGTTTTGTTGATAATGATAACCTCGTGATTTGGATATTCCATAAAATCAATTAACCATTCCCTGCAAATTCGGTCTTTTCCACTTTTAATTTGATTTGATAACAAATTATTAAATTAGTTTCTTCTTTTTTTTTATTGTAGTATTTGATAAAACGAGAGATACGAAACTAATTAATATCTAATTTTCTACTATCTAAATTTAATTTAACAATCAATCGAAGATCAAATTGAACATATAAATGTAATTGTAATTGGTTGAAAAATGCTAAAAATTTGAATGAAATGTATAAGATTTAAACTAAAAAGATTTGAATTTGAAACGTTCGAGAGAATTCAACAAAAAGATGTTTTCTTATTGGACAATTCGATCTCTTTTGTTTTTAAGGAATTTCTGAAAAAACTTATCAAATTCCTTTAACAAATTGTTTAATTTGATTGTAAAATATAATAATTTGTAATAAATCAGTGAAAAATTTTGGAAATTTTAAGAAAATTGAACTTTTGATAAAGTCAATGTAAAAAAAACTAAATTGCAAATTGATGTAAAACGTAATGAATTTAATATTTTTTGCAATCATAAATTTTATTTATCGCGTGTTCATTAAGTGATAAAAACAGAAGAAAAGAAGTACAGAGAAAGAGAGATGAGATTAAAACGAGAATCGCGATCGTTCGGTATTTGTTTAATGAGGATATAAAGTTTCGAGTAAATGAAGTGGACGAAGACGATAGTGGTAGTGGTTGTCGTGTAGTTAGTTGCAGGTGGAGATTACGTTACGAACATTCAAGCAAGCAAGCGGTGGTTTTAATTGCAATTTGCATTAAACCCATTCGCGAAACAACAACCACCACGCAAAACAAATAAACGCCACACTTAAGTCAATCCTCATTACCATGACGACGCGCTCATATTTATCGGGATGAGATGCACCGCACCCTTGCGGATTTAAAGGAAGGAAGAGGCGATTTGCATTATCCTCCAATTACGCACGTCGACTGTGCAAACTCTCATTGTCACGCCTTATTTAAGTGCAAAATAAAACCAGTATTAACGGTAAATTCCCTATGGAAATTGTTATCCGAAGATTGTTTGTTTGTTTGTTTGTTTGGCGTATTTTCATAGCGGATCGATGAGATCAACAAACATCAACAAGTATGCCGCAAATTGCGAAGAATTGTATGAAAGAATGTATGTGTATACACTTGTGGCCGAATAATTAAAATCGTGGTAGTGGTGAAGCGGAAGCGCGAAATACGATGATGATGATGATGATGCATCGAAGTTCGAGGTGAGCCAAACAATTTACGAGTTGTATAATAACTCTGTTGTTGCTGCTGCTGCTGCTGAGAATTGTATAAGCGAGACGGTAGCAAGCAAGCAGGCAGCTCTGGGTCAAGGAGAGAATTTTAAAGGCGGCGGCGACGGGTCCTAACGCTCAATTACGTACGATTGAAAGTTTAATTCAATACTATACACCAAATCTGGGGTAGTTTTAACTTAAATTTGTAGGTTGGTAATTGTAAAACAACTGTAATAATACTTAAAACATGGCGTAGTTTTGTTTTCAATTTTTAAGATTGGTAAAAGAAAACAAATGTAAAAACAAAAATGTTGCTTGATAATCATTATGATCATCATGATCTAGGGTAGTTTAAACTTAAATTTGTAGGTTGGTAATTGCAAAACAACAGTAATAATACTTAGTTTTGTTTTCAATTTTTAAGATTGGTAAATGAAAACAAATGTAAAAACAAAATGTTGCTTGATAATCATTATGATCATCATGATGTAGGGTAGTTTTAACTTAAATTTGTAGGTTGGTAATTGTAAAACAACAGTAATAATACTTAGTTTTGTTTTCAACTTTTAAGATTGGTAAATGAAAACAAATGTAAAAACAAAAATGTTGCTTGATAATCATTATGATCATCATGATCTAGGGTAGTTTGAACTTAAATTTTTCGATTGGTAATTGTACAACAAATAAAATTTAAAGTGAGTCATCGATGATACCGACCGAGAAGTAATTCATTTGCAGTCAATGTTGTTCTTTTGCGTTTCGAAGAACATCGGTTATTTATAGAACAAGATTATAAAAGGAATAATAAAAAAAACGAGTTTCGTAAATCGAAAGACGTTGCGTGCGAACTTGAAAAAGAAAAGAAAAAAAAGTTCATCGAACTGTCGTCGTCGTTTCCTTCTTAAATTGTAAACGCAAATATATGAAGTGCAAGGTGGTAATGAGGACGATTCGGGGCGGAAATTCGATTACGAAAAAATAAAGTGAGCGCTCTTTCGTTCATTGGTTCGTTCGGATGGCCGCCGAAGACCGGAATATTTATAATAATCTGCTCACTCTTACTACTTTATACTTTGGTTACTTTGACCCCAACAGTAACGTATATCATAATTTTCTTTTACCTTCCACCTCTCGCCGCGCGGAATTCCAGATTACGTAAATGAGATGCACATTTCGGCGTTCGTCCTTGCTGCATCATCCGACATCCTTGTCGTTCCCTTGGCGACGCGCAACGGATAATACGATTCACGGCCAACGAACTTCCACCTGAAACAAAAAAAAACAAAAATAACAAATGAAAACATAAACAAAATTGAAACGCTTCATTCAGATACATCAATCATAATTATCATCAATTAAAAGCTAATTAAGCCAGAATCAATTAATTCAAATTATCTATTTAATTATTGTTGCAAACTATTATAGTAAATCAAGTCTCAATACATAAGTCTGGTTGAAAAGACAAAGAAGAAATGCACTTTGATTGCATAGATTGTGAATAGGTTTGAAAACGAAATTGATGGATTGATGGATCGATTGTATATAGTAGTAAAGCCCATAAGTTATCGAAGGTTGCTTGAATGGGCGATGCGATTATGTTAATTACGTCTATACGTAATGAAGTAACGACGTTGTGGCCTGTCTGTCTGTCCAAAACAAACAAACAAACACTTCTTTCAACTTACCTCTAGTTTTCTGCTTGCAAACTCCACAAACTTCCCATTAATCCACAACATCGAACTGGTAGAACGGCTTCAGCTGGAAACAAGAAAGAAAGAAAAAAGTATTTATACGTACGCTATGCAACATTGATTAAAACGCGAATCGTTACTTCTTCGGTTTTTTTTTTTTTAGTTCTGCGCCATTTATTTATTCCCACCATCCCTGTATATTACAGTCGTAACGGCCTCCGGTTATAAGTAATAGCGACAGATACATGGACCGCGCCGTAATTGAATTCCATGTACACTTACACTTCGAATGCGAAAACAAGGAATGCACTCTACAATGTACAAAATCTTAGTTTTATCTTACGAAGTAACATGTTTTGGGCATATATTTTGTCTCAACTCAAGATTTAATAAGCCAACGGTTACAAGATTGAATTCATACAATTACTTGGCAAGTGGCGCGTATTAGGTGATGTGTCTGTTGCGGGTAGTAGTGAGGTTTTTAGGAAGTGCGGGTCGAAATTTGTGATCAAGGCCAAACGATTCACGAATTCTAAATCAATCCAAAAGGCAATTTCCATATACGTGATTTGTATGCGAGGCTGGGTATTCGTCTTTTTTGTGTTCTATCGTTTTCTCAACGAAAACGAATCCGTTCATTCACCGTTAGACTTGCCAAAAAAACAAGATTGAATACACTAACTAATAGATTGCCGCCTCCTTGCTCGTTCTCATTTTGCCTCGAGGGCGCGCCTATTTTGACACACATTTTATTCAGATTAATTCAGAATAATAAATAATAACTCTCTTTTCGAATTCGTGTTTCAATGTCGAAGGTCAATGAAAACAAAATATGAATACTATTATTATTATTATGAGATTATTGGAATATTTCACGCGTTAATTTATGAAAAGTATTATTTTATTATATGATGATGATATGCGAATGAAAAGAATTAAAATATGTAATTGATACGGCTGATTAAAGTGTCTTTCTATAAATATATCCGGTGGGGAATGGGTTGGAATCTACATAAATATGATTTCCGTCCCTTTTCCCACGGCCGCGAATCTTCTTCGTCTACTTTTTGTCCAGCCACCGCCGCTGACGCTGCTTGTGGATGTCCTTGCGCGATTCACATTCGATCGTTAACGATCATCACAAACTAACCAGAGCAGCAGCCGGAGCAACAATAATTATCTGCTCGAGATTATTAAACGGTCGTCAAATAATCCCGATTCAACTTACACGCCAATTAATTGTTAATGTCATCATCATCATCATTATCATCATGAAAATTATATAAAAAAAATAATGTTAAGAGCGAAACGATGTCCTCCATCGTCCAACGGATGGATTTCGCGTGTACCCGAAATGTTGTAACCGAGATAAAGACGACAGAGATGAATGCCGGTACCGAAAATGCTGAATTCGTGTAACAGACGCGCGAAGAGAGTTGGATATTATTCAAATCACCGAGAGATTAATAAGAGGGACGACGACAAGTATAATTGGAAGAGTTCTCATCACGTCCGTCTTTTCGAAACATCGATTAATTACGAGATGGCGCTAATAATGATTACGCTTAATAAAGGCAACCGGTCCCGCAATGTCATCGTTAATGCAATTTGCAATCGCATCAATTATATAAATAACATCCTTTTTTATCCTTTTAGTCGCCTCTTACGACAAGCAGGATTTACTTTGGTCGAATTCTTTAAAACCCCGAACCAAAGGGTCATTCAATTTCGTAAAATTATTATGCAACTCGATTACACCCTTAGCAACCATTATTTTTTTTGCTGTTTTTTTTTTTCTAATTTGACAACACTTTGTTTTTTTTTTCTTCTCTGACAGATGTTCGAGGTTTGATTCAAGAGAGACGTGTTCATCGAGGAAATATAGCCGAGTGTAGCTACCTACGATGAAGATGATGTCGATGAGGTCGGGCGCCGTCCTCGTGCTGGCATTTTTGTGCGTCGAAAATTCACGTGCCGATGGTAAGTTTTCTCTTCCTCCTCCTCCTTCTCCTTCATCTTCTTCTACCTGCACTGTGTTCTCGATCCTCACTCTTAAAAATCAAAGACGAAGAAGACCTGTTCTAAATCATCTCTGGCCGCAATATAAATTGGCCTGTCCGTGGCTCGCGTAATTGATTTACGCTAATTGATTTTTTCTCGTGCCCGTCGGTACATGGAAATAAATAAAAGGCAGAAGAGAAAAAAAGGGCATCAGCTCGCTTCTCGCATCTGCTTCTGCTGCTGCTGCTCATCTCTTCTTCGTCTTTCTTGGAGTTTTCTGCTTGTTATTGTTGCTTTGCCGCTGGACTGGAGCATAAATTTCTGTCGCATGCATTTCCATGCGAGCGCATAGCTGGATTGCCAACTTTTGTTTTCTCTTTTCTTTTCTTCTTCTGCTTACTTCTCATAACGACAATGGCACAGGTTTTCCAGGTTTATCTCGTCGGGTCGGTCAGACAGACCTTCCAACAGTCCGGCCCAACCATATATGCAATGATAATTGCAACCATTTGATAAATTTGGCTCTTATGGTCATTCTTTATTTGCAGATACATTGAGAAACTCGCCGCCTCAGCCTGCCGAGCCATCTTTTCCGTGTCCTTCGGAGGGTTTCCATCCGGATTCAAAGGATTGCCAAGTATTCTATAGATGCGTCCTGAACAACGGCACAAACGCTCTGACGCCGGTGCGATTCGTCTGCGGTCCGGGAACAGTGTTCGATCCGGCCACCAACATTTGCAACTATCCGTATGCGAGCAGTCGCGAGGAGTGCGGTGGGAACGGGATCGACGCCGGATACGAACAGCTTCAGAAGACGACTACGACTTACCGACCATCGCCTGCTAGTTCCACGTCAACTTCTGGCTATCTGCCGCCGTCTACCTCCTCTCCGTCGACGGTCATTTCAACTACACCAGTTTCGAGCGAAATCGGCGATAAATGCACGCAGGAAGGATACTTGGCCGATCCGGAAAAGTGCTGGAAGTTCTACAGATGCGTCGGCGATGGACTAGGTGGATTCGTGCGATACGAATTTGAGTGCTCGGTCGGCACAGTCTGGGATCCGGAAGCAGTCGCCTGCAACTATCCATGGGAAGTTAATAGAACCAACTGTAAAACGCAACGCCCACCCGTAGGTCCAGGCGATGGCGGCACAGGAGGAAACAATGGTGGAACAGGCGGTACTGGTGGAACGGGAGGAGACAACAGTGGAACGGGCGGTACTGGTGGAACCGGTGGTACCGGAGGAACTGGTGGTACGGGAGGAACAGGAGGTACCGGAGGAACAGGAAATAATGGTGGTACCGGAGGAACAGGAGGTACGGGTGGAACAGGCGGTACTGGTGGAACGGGAGGAGACAATAGTGGAACAGGCGGTACTGGTGGAACAGGAGGTACCGGAGGAACAGGAGGTACCGGAGGAACAGGAGGTACTGGAGGTACCGGAGGACAGATATGCAAAGAAGAAGGATTTGTAGGCGATGAGAACAATTGTACCAAATTCTACCGATGCTCTAGCAATGGTCAAGGTGGATACCTACAGAACGCATTCAATTGTGGACCAGGCACTGTTTGGGATCAAACCATTCAGTCATGTAATCATATATGGGCAGTCAGTGGAAAATGCGGAAATGGAGAACAAAATCAACCAGGAACAGGAGGCCAACCCGGCACTCCAGGCACACCAGGAACAGGAGGCCAACCCGGTACTCCAGG